CTCAGTAGTTTTTAAAGCCTCCCAGGTAAATCTAATATGATACAAATATTGAGATTCACTATTAACACTGTTTATTCAGAGTCCACTTCACCCATGAAATGTTAAGCTCTAGCAGGGCACAGACTGTGTTTGAATTGTTTGTACCTAACATAGTACCTAACATAGCCACACATTTATTGAATAAATGGAAGAATGTCTAATTCTCTAACATATCTTGTAAGGAGACCCCCAAAAACCTAGGTTGAGTTCAAAAGAGAGGCTATCTAGAAATAATAACAATTTTATCAAGTAGACTCATATTCAGCTTCAAGTATTAGAAATCTTAAAATAACAGTGGATTCAACAAATAAACGTTTCAACCACGTATTAAAAAAAAAAAAATCCCAAGAAAAAAATTAGTATTAGCCTGGAACTGGTAAGAGATTCAAAGGTAACAGGAACCTGAGTTTCTCGTACTCCCTTGGCTGCAGCTCCTAAGTCACGCTCCAATATGGCTGCCTCCATTGCAAAGACAGCAAGCAGAGGCTCCCTTTAATACTTGTGAACAACCCTTCACTTGTGTTCCAATTGCCACAACTTATTCATAGGAACATTTCTATTTACAAGAGACCGTTCCTATCTACAAAGGAAGCTAAGGATTCAGCTTTATTTTAATTTTTAATTTAAATTTTATTTTTATATTTCCCATACAATTATAACCCCCTTATTTTGACCCCAATTCCTCCTTTCCCCGCCCCCCACCCCCCATAGAGTGTCTCTGGTTCATAGTTGTTTGTTGATTTTGATATTTTCTTTCTTATAGTTATTCATTTTCCTGGTCCCTTATTTAAGTTTTCTAGATTCCTGCTATGAGTGAGAGAGACCGTTTGGTATTTTTCTTCTTCTTTCTGGCTTATTTCGCTGAGCATGATCCCTTCCAGCTCCATCCATGCTGCTGCAAATTGCATGTGTTTATCTTTTTTGATTGCTGAGTAATATTCCATGGTGTATATGTACCACATCTTCTTGATCCAGTCATCTATTTTTGGGCATTTGGGTTGTTTCCAAAGCTTAGCTATTGTAAATAGTGTACAGCTTTATTTTATTTTTTTTATTTATTTTTTTAAATAATAAATTTTATTTTTATATTCCCCATACAATTGCAAACCCCCATTCTGACCCCAATCCCTCCCCTCCGCCCCCCCCCCAAAAGTGTCTCTGGTTCATAGTTTTTTGTTGATTTTGATTTTCACTTTCTTATAGTTATTCATTTTCCTGGTCCCTTATTTAAGTTTTCTAGATTCCTGCTATGAGTGAGACCATCTGGTATTTTTCTTTTTCTTTTTGGCTTATTTCGCTGAGCATGATCCCTTCCAGCGCCATCCATGTTGCTGCAAATTGCATGTGTTTATCTTTTTTGAATGCTGAGTAATATTCCATGGTATATATGTACCACATCTTCTTGATCCAGTCATCTATTTTTGGGCATTTGGGCTGCATCTTGCTAAAAGTTGGGAATTCTATATATTTTTAAAGAAAACGGATGTTTAGGGGAACTAATTACTGTAGCTGCCACGATAATTGACTCTAATAGAACAAACATAGATACTGTGTTAGAACTAAAATTCTAGCTAGATACATCAGGAAAGGACTTATTGAAAAGGCACCATTTGAACCATGAAAGGTAAATAGAACAACAGGCAAGGGGAGAAAGGTGTTCCAGGCAGAGGGAATGTTGCAAACAAAAACAGATATGGGAGGTACAGAGAACATAACTGTCAAAGTACACAAAAGAAAAAATTTGAATCACAGAGACCAAATCTGAATCAGCAGCCTCCTACTTAATAGATGGGTAATGAGACGTCGTAAAATTTTGATGAGATTGTGGTTTTCAAATAATAATGTTGAAAATATATATAAGGATGGAACAGAAGCCTTGTTCCAGTGATGAGTGGGACACAGTGATGCTAAGAACTCGGAGTTTATTCTGTTAGTAACAGTGAGGAAATTAAGTACAGTCTATTAATAAAAAATCATATTATCCCGTCTTTATGAAAAGTCCATTTGGTAATCTTGATTACAACCTTTGGTGATTTTAATAATTAAAAATTTTTTTATAGTGGGATAATCTACAAACAACCCTGGAATTCATTCACACCATTGATTCCTCCTCAAAACTTTCAAATCATCTAGTAGACACATGCAGAAAAATCTGTTTGGAAATGACAAGTGAAAGATGTTTTATAAACTCCAGATGGAATTTGGTCTTAACTCAGATCAAATATGAAAAGATATCCAGGCACCAGGGTGGATATCTAGCAAGTGATCGCTATCTGACTTTGTGAATCAAAATGTTCTGCGCGTTACTAACTGAACTTTAGTGAGGGAGCGCAGTAGTTATGCTACGATGGGGAGGAGCAATGGAGAGTGGAAAAATGGTGCAGGGTTACCATTATTTATTGAAAACTACAAGGAACCAGGCAGAGTGCCAAATATCTTAAATGCAAAGTCAAATTAAACCCCAAAACTGCAATACTTGGATATAATTGTTTTGTCCAAATCACTGGATGACTAGTGTCATTCAGTCATTGCATGACCAGGATTCAAAGCCCAAAGCCTGAACTCGAAAGTATATTTGCTTTTTAAAGACAGGTGATAGGCACTTTCTGACTGAACTAATCAATCACTCAGTAATTACCATTTCACTTTTAATTCTTTACTTCCAATTTTTCCCATCCAACCTTTAACCAAACCTCTTCTTTTATCTATCAGATGTTTCTAATTTCAATAGTCCCTGATTTTCTTCCCCATTTTCAAGCTACTTCCTATCCTTATTTCATATTTTAAAATTTTTTAAATTTTAAAATATTGTTAAATAAAAACATTTGAAACATTTTAAAATCTAAGAAAAATTTTACCACTCATGTTCACACACACCATATACCCAACCTTTTGAGCTCTCCAGTCTGCACTGTCTTTTGCAGGAACAGCTGCTGCTAGATTTTAAATTTCATCCTTTCTCTTTCCTGCAGGTATTTGTTTATGCTTCAGTGATGGGCTAAAATGTATAATTCTGTTTGCTCAAAAGGGAAACTCAGATCGATCTGGGCACTAAGCCAATTGTACATTAGCTACTACAGAAATCAGTTATTCAAAAACTATTTACAAGATGACTACTTTGATCAGAAACAAAAAGTATTTATCACAACTTGTCACTTAAGCTCCTGACACCCAGCCTATCTCTCTACCTTTTGCCTTCCACACACCCATCCAAAGGCTATTTGGATTACCGTTGTCCTCTAAACACACTCTGGGTTTTCCACTTCTGATATTTTCTTTTTCCCTACTCAGAACGCGCCCTCACAGCTCACCTTATAAAAATCCCATTCACCCTACAAAGTTTATTGCAACTGAAAGGCTATCCTTCCAGGAGGTCTTTCTAATTACCCAGCCTGAAACTGTTTTCTCCTTCCAATTGTTTTATCTTGTATTTGTTTTTACAATCAATTTTAATAATCTTTTCATTGTATAGTTACATACAGATACAGAAACTCACATAAATCAGATTTTTTTGCCTAATGAATTATTTTAAAGTGAATATCACCCAGGTCAAACCCCATCCTAGTTCTAGTGGGAAGAGAATAAAGAGATTGTGACCCCTGATAGCCTGCAGGCTGGACCCTAGCAAGTGGAGACTCCTCGCCTGCCCCTATTCCCTCACCCAATCATTGTAGATTTAGTAAATTTAATTACTTTTGTCTTTTAATCCTCACAGTCACTTTAGGTGATTGATCTACTGCTTTTACTGTACAATTGCCCTTTCCAGAGTTGTTTTTTTGGTTTTTTGTTTTTTTTTTTTCTTTCATGTGTTTTCTTTTTTGGTCATTTCTTTTCAATTTCAAGAAGTTCCTTCAACATTTCTGGGAACATCAGCATAATGGTGATGAACCTTTTCATTTTTTGCTTACCTAAGAAACTCAATCTCTCCTTCAATTCTGAATGTTAACCTTGCCAGGTAAAGAATTCTTGGTTGGAAGTTTTTTACGTTCAGCACTTTAAGTCTGTCATGTCGCCCTCCTCTGGTCTGCAGCTTTTGTTGACAAATATAACAAACTCTTGGGGCTCCTTTAGTATGTTAACAGCTTCTTCTCTCTCGCTACTTTCAAGACCTTCTATCTTTTGGTGTTTTGATTATAGTGTGTCTCGGTGTGGATCTCTTTGGGTCCCTTTTATTGGAACTTTCTGGGCTTCCTGTACTGAATCTCTTTCCATCCTCAGGTTAAAGAAGTTTTTGGTCATAATTTCCTCAATTAATTTTTTCTGGTCCTTTTATCTCTTTACCTTCTGGTAACCCTTAAAACTAAAAGTGTTCCTTTTGATGTTGTCCCAGACATCCTCTAAGGTGTTTTCACTTTTTAAGTTCTTTTTCATTTTGCTGTTCTGTCTGGATGCCAGTGTCTTCTCTTCCAGCTCTCTCACCACTCTTCTGATTCTTTCTGTCGGCCACTGGGCCCCTCCGTTGTATTTTCATTTCCATTGTTGTACCCTTTAACTTCTGCTTGGATCTTTCTTGAATTTCAGTTGATCCAGTTTTCTGGATCAGTAATAGCATCTTTTATAATCATCATCAGGTATCTGTTTATGCTCATATCCTCAGAGTTATTTTTTTGGGGGGGGCTTGCTCTTTTATTTAGGACATTCTGCCTCCACATTTTTCCTCATTTTCTGTCTATATTTCCTTCTGTGTATTAGTCAACTCTTCTCTCTCTCCTGATTTTTGTAAGAATGGCTTTGTGCAGGTGTCATCTCAGAGTCCCAGCACAGTCCTTCATGACCACCTGAGCTACGTGCTATAGGTGTGTTTCCTGCATGGGCTTCCCATCTACCTGCTATGTCATTATGACAGTGTGAGTGGCTGTCACTTGGCCCAGCTACAGCACAGTGGATGGGTGCACATCACAACTGCATTATGCTGGCTCAACAGTTCCATGGCCCAGCCAGGAACAAGGCTCCATCACTATGCATCAGGAGAGCAGATTCACCAGTCCCCAGAGGCTGCCTGCGCACAGCTGGCAGGGTACAACAGTGTCCAGTGGCAGTTCTTGGTGCCAGGCTATGAAACACAGTATGTCATGGAGGTAGGGGGCTCTCAGCAAGCCTCGCTCACCATCTTTAGTTGAGTGGGAGGAGGGATCTAAGATGGCACCTGTAGGTACTGGAATAAGCAAGGTTATATAAAGATGGCACTTGCCAGGGTTTTCAACCTGGGCATCATTCCAACTTACTCTGTCTCTAAGAGTGGTAGATGGGTTTCCTTCAGTCATGATTTGAGCATTTTTCAGCCCAGTGATACTGTACTAGGTCCTGGGATGTGTAAGTCTGGGGGTGGGGGCGGTGCCTTTCAGAGTGGGTTATCCATTCCCTGTTTTCAGATTCTCCTGGATTATTTCCCACTGACCCTTATTTAGCATGAAACATGAGGTCTTGTCACATATTAAGTGGACCTTAAGAACAATGTAAACAGCCTAGAGATGAGTGTACCAACATCATCAAGAAAACCTCCTGAGTCAAGTTTTCAAGCTAACAGCATCATTTGAATGTTACAGATGTGAAATTCTGAATTTTCAAAGTCTTTCTAATTTTTTTTTAAAAATTCAAATACAATAAACTGCTCCTCTTTAGAGTGCTTGGGTGGAAAATATGAACACTCTGTAACACAGCACAGTCTAGTCCCATCCCTAGCATCAGGTATCCTATTGTCTAGCTCCAAATTCATCCCTATGTCTCTTCTCCCTTTAGTACAGAACCGCTGACAGCAAACAAGCCCTGACCCAACACCACTGGAATAAGGCCAGTGCTTTCCGAGGTAGGTAAGCTGAGACCATGTATTTCTGAGTTTGCAGAGACAGAAACCCTGCTGGTATTTTTATTCTTCAGCAAGGGAATCCAGACTCTAAGATGACTCACTCACTGTGTTCACATGCATTCTCACAAATATTAACATGGATTAATGCATCACCTCCCACTTGGCATGAGTTTACAATTCTTTAAGAGCAACTGCGAATTAGGTTGTGACAGAAGATCTGTCTATGCAGAATACCAGGCACTTTCCAACTTCTGGAAAATGTAATGCTATAGACAGACCAAGGTAAATACCATGTGAAGTAGCAATATATTTCTGCAATATATTTCTCTTAATTTGTCATATTTATTATAGATACATTAAGACCTACATCCAAATATTTTTATCACATTTGTGCAACAATTTTGAATAATATTAAATGTGATTTCATTTTCACCATAGTCAATGACTTTTCAAGTCTTAGAAAATGATCTGCAGATTTTGTGAAATACCAAATAACATACAAATTTGGTGAAAGTTTTTAACAATACGTCCTGCTATGCAAACCTTCTAGAAGTACAACTCTATGTGTAGGAGTATTTAAGTTGTCATGTAAACTTGAGATATAGTTTTTTTTTTTTATTTTTGTAGACATTCCAGATGGTAGAACACCTAAAAATCTTTAAATACTTTTTAAAGTCATGGCATAAACAGTTTTTGCTGGCATTCTAGAAACCCACGCATTTTATTAGCATATGCCTCCCTGTCATATTTTAACAGTCCCTAATAATAACCAAAACAGTCAGCACACAAATAGCATTGATAAACTGAGCCAGACTATAATGTGGAGAGAAGTTATGGCACCCTGGCAAAAGCCCCAAAGAAGTGTGGGGATGTATTAATTCTAGTCTTGATTTAGCACCAATTATGTGGCCTTTGACTAATTTCTGCACGTCTAGTTCCCTCTCTCTAGGATGAGAACAATTACTAGCAATGTTTCCTGAAAGCAGAATCAAGGGAAAAAGCCTCTATGAAAACTATTTATTTGGGAACAATCCCAGATAGCACAAGTGAAGTTTAGAAAGGAGTGAAACCAGGGTATAGCCGAAGCCAACAGAAGGATCTGTATGGTCTCCAACAGGCCACCCCACTGAGCTACAGAAACTCAGAACCTTCTGGGAGCCTTGTGAAATGAGCAGTTTCAGAGCGGTCCACCAGGGTCACAAGCACATTTATTCATCAGAGGAAGGGGGTCCGAAGGTACTTGTGTCCACACATTGATAGTTCTCACATGCATGAGTGCAGGGCCAAGTGTTGTATGTGTCCAGTCGAAGATGTCAGAGGAGCCCTGGGCGGCAGGGAGAGGTGTGAAGAGAGCAAAGCGCTCGCACTTGCACTGAGAGGAAGCAGGTCAAAGCCTGTACAGAAGTGCTCGCCTTAGCAGTGATGAAAATAAAAGGAAAGTCCAGGGCACGCGAAAGGTGCAGAGCAAATATGTGACACAGACAGATGGTCAGCAGGTGCTCAGCAACCTCCAGCTCCTATATTATTGCACATTAATATTTATAACTGCCAAATATTCAGCTTCCACAGAGTGGAGCACTACTTTTATTGTTATCTAGTTTTTGCTTCACAATAATTCTGCAAGCACATAATGTTACCTCCATTTGTAGATGAGGGAACGGAGTCCAGAAAATTTAAGTATTTTCCTACGGTGATGTTCCAAACCTCTTACTTTGGACACTTTAGGCCAGGTAAATCTCTGTTTGCAATTGGAGGAGGCCATCATGTCCACTGCAGGAGGTTCACAGCGATCTTGACCTCTACCTTCTAGATGCCAGTAGCTCCCCTATCATCAGGAGAGTCCAAGACTTTGCCAGTGTCCCCCCACAGGGGGGACATCAACGTTGATCCTACATCAACATCACTCTTGATGTAGGATCATTTGCCTAAAGTCACAACCACCACAGGTGGCATAAGTGCAATTTGAGTCCAGAAATGACTGACTCCAAAATTCATTTGAAGCACAGGAAAAAGTGTCCTTTTCACTGTCAGAGCAATACTTTTTATTGTCTTCTAGTTTAAGGGAATCAAAGCTCCATGGGAAACAAATGGTTAAAAGCAAATCAGTTCTTAAAAATTATGTATGAGGACCTCCCTGGTGGCACAAGGGGTTAAACACAGCACTATGAAGCAATCCGCAGCCTCTGCAGCACAAGTTCAATCCCCGGTCAGCCAGGGAGCTGACCCACATGGTGCAGCAGACCTCTCCTGTCTCCCCACTGCTCCCCTCAGCAGTGTATTTCAGTCAGTCTGCCTGTTCTGCTCCCCACTCTGTCTCTGGTGAATCCTCTCACCCCCCACATCTCTGGCCTGTACCCCAGTTCTTGTATGCATAAATAAACCTTTAAAAAAATTATGTTTGACATCACTTGTAATCAGGGAAATGCAAATCAAAACTACCATGAGATACCATCTCACACCAGTGAGAATGGCACATATTAAAAAAACTAGCAACAACAAATGTTGGCGAGGATGTGGAGAAAAAGGAACTCTTGTGCACTGTTGGTGGGAGTGCAAACTGGTCCAACCACTATGGAGAGCTGTGTGGAGATTTCTGGACCTACTAAACATAGAGCTTCCATATGATCCAGCAATTCCACTCCTAGGTATTTACCCAAAGGACACAGAAACATCAATTCCAAAGAGCACCTGCACTCCTATGTTTATAGCAGCACTGTTTACAATAGCTAAGCTTTGGAAACAACCCAAATGCCCAAAAATAGATGACTGGATCAAGAAGATGTGGTACATATATACCATGGAATATTACTCAGCATTCAAAAAAGATAAACACATGCAATTTGCAGCAACATGGATGGCACTGGAAGGGATCATGCTCAGCGAAATAAGCCAAAAAGAAAAAGAAAAATACCGGATGGTCTCACTCATAGCAGGAATCTAGAAAACTTAAATAAGGGACCAGGAAAATGAATATAAGAAAGTGAAAATCAAAATCAACAAAAAAACTATGAACCAGAGACACTTTTTGGGGGTGGGGGGCGGGAGGGGAAGGATTGGGGTCAGAATGGGGCGTTTGCAATTGTATGGGGGAATATAAAAATAAAATTTAATATTTAAAAAAAAAAAAATTATGTTTGAGTAAATGCAAAGGTAGGGACACATGGTAATAAGAATCTCGAACAAGACAAAAACAAAACTAGCGGCAAATTATAGACCTGAGACATACAGCAGGGGAGAGGAAGGGAGAGGGAGCAACACAGGGAAGGGAAGAGGATAAGGGACCTGTGAGGAGACTTACAGGGATTACACCTGAGGGGAGAAATCAAATATTGTACAAAAATGAACATCGATGAAAGAAAATTAAAAAGTTAACTTAAAAAAGACAGACAGACAACACGTTCCTGACAGTATAGGACATAAGGAGAGCCTGGCACGCAGTACAGTGTTCAGATTAGCCCAGAATCACTCACTGGGAAATACTAGTAATCGAGCTCACATCTTGGTAATCGTCAGTCATTCTAAGTACAGATGCATGAAATCACTTATGAATCACTTAAGTCACTGGTATTGAGATCTGCTTTGTTCTTCCTAGTTAAGGAAATGAAAGACAAACAATATTATGTTCTTAAGATTTCAAGCATCCTTACTTGCTCCTCTCCAACAGACAATAAAGAGTGGTTATTTGAGGAGTGACTTTTAGGGACCCCAGAGTAAAATGAAATGGAGGACCCTGGTGGGATTGAAAAGAAGCAGAGTGGGAGGGGCCTCCCTGGTGGTTCAAGGGTTAGGCACCACACTGTGAAGCAATCCGCAGCCTCTGCGGCACAAGTTCGATCCCCAGCCGGCCAGGGAATAACCCACATGGCGCAGCAGACCTCTCCTGTCTCGCCCGCTGCTCCCCTCAGCAGTGTGTTTCGTCAGTCTGCCTGTTCTGTTCCCCACTCTGTCTCTGGTGAATCCTCTCACCCGCCCCACCCCCCGCATCTCTGGCCTGTACCCCAGCTCTTGAGTGCATAAATAAATAAAAATCTTTAAAAAAAAAAAAAAAAGAAAAAGAGAAAAGAAAAGAAGCAAAGTGATTGAAGAGGTGAAAAAAAAAGAAGCATCTGACTGTTCCAAATTCAAGACGGCCTTGCCTGTTTGTAGAGATACCACAGGCAGAGAACACAGAGACACATCGTAGCCTCAAATCAAGGGCTGGGTCTTCAAAAGGTCTGCAGTCAAAGCTTGACTAAGAGCAAACCCCCTAGCGGTGGGCAGCAGCAAGGAGGGTAGATTCAGAGTAGACAGAACTTGATTAGAAAAATAACAAATTGATGCAACAAACTTATGCCAAAGAATTAATGGACAAATATTCATAGCTAACTTCATCTGGGTAAACTATAAATAGCACCCATTCCAAGTTGACATTTTAAACAAATCACCTGATCCTCTTTGTAAAGTCTTTCATAGCTTCTTAAGTTATTGTCAAATAACTGGCCTAGTGTCATAACAGGCAGGGCTCTGGACCTATGAGGGGGTTAGTCAGGAGCCACCCCCCTTTCTGAATGCGATGAGGCATGCTAATATTTTAAATCATAATTGCTAGGTATATGTTCTAATTTATGTTAACTCTTTAATTCTGAAAATGCAAGCATTCATTCAACAAATACAAAAGAACACCTGCTGTGTGGCAGGCACAGTGCTTGAAATTGGGATTTAACGTTGAGAAAAACAAACATAATTGCTGTCCTCAGGGGCATCAGTAAAATGATCCCACAAATAAAAATAAAATTATAATTTCATAAAGTCAGGCCACAGGGAAAGGTGAGAATTAAAATAGAAAGGTTTTACTTGTTCAGAAATCAGGAAACAGTTGCCCCAAGAGGTGATGAGAACTGAATAAATGAATAGGAAGGAAGTAGGCAGAAAGCAGCAGAGTTCCGAGCAAAAGAAGAACCTGCGCAACCTCTGTTGAGAGGGAAGAAAACAGTGAGAATGCAAAATGAAGGTAAGAAAATTAAATACAGATGATGTTGTGTGTATTTAAGACCATGTTAAAAAATTTGGTCTTAAGAAAAATGAGATGCTGTTGAAGTGGTTTAAATAGAGAATGAATAAAAATTTGACAAATTTTCTAAGATCAAAAATAAAAATAAAAGTAAATAAATTGAGGATGAGAGGCAAGGGTGGGGTAGAAGTGATAGGACCAAATTAACACCTTGGAAGCTGTAACATTAGATATAAATCCCAAGGTTATAGCTGAGCGCTCCAGAAGAGAGTTGAAAAACGGGAGATTCACTTTCAACGTCCAAAGAAGTCGATCATGGGGACATATACTACTTTAATGTGTCGCGTTCCCTAAGAGATCTCATGAGGCACTGAAGGACAGAAGGTGCTCAGAATAGAGATGCTACATCACAAACAGGACCTCACAAATTGTACCAATACACTTAAAGTTCTCCTCACCAGGTCTTCCTGTGGCTAGAATAACCTTTAATTTTTTTAATACAAGAACTGGGGTACAGGCCAGAGATGTGAGGGAGTGAGAGGATTCACCAGAGACAGAGTGGGGAGCAGAACAGGCAGACTGACTGAAGTACACTGCTGAGGGGAACAGCAGGCGAGTCAGGAGAGGTCTGCTGTGCCATGTGGATAACTCCCTGGCCGGCCGGGGATCAAACTCATGCTGCAGAGGCTGCAGATTGCTTCACAGTGTGGTGCTTTACCCCTTGCACCACCAGGGAGGCCCACAACCTTTAATATTGTAGGTAAACGTCTTTTTCCTTTTTTTCAGTCATTTCCTATGTTCATTAGGAAAGTACAATCATAAAGAGGTAGAGAGCAATTGTCCCTAATCTCACTAGACTTTATCAAGATATTATTGCTGTCAGACTCACCATTCTCCAAGGGAAACCCAGCCCAGTGGCCCAGAGTAGATATTAGGTTCTGTAAATTACAAAGTATCTAACTGAACTTACAGAAAACTCGGAGGTGAGGTTGCTGGATAAATCAAGTCATAGTTGCTAGAAAAGAGGCAAACATCCAAATACTGGAAAAATTGCATATATGAACACCACGTCCAGACGTCAGAATTGTCTTGAACACCAACTGGTGTTTGAAGTTAATTATTAGAGGCAGGCAGGTTACCTGGTGCATAGAAAATCAACCTGGTGCTGATATCCAAGCCAGATTTTCAGTCTGTGGCCATTTGAAAACCAGTATCAAAACTACCCAGGATATTTGTCTAAAGCATGTCTAGATACATACACACACACCCCTCTACAAATTCCTTTCTTGTATGCTCCCCAATCCTAACAAATAAAAATCTCTGAAGTTACAGTTCAGGATTATGCATTTTCAATGAATTTAGATGATTCTTAAGTGCGCTCAAGTTCAGGTGCTCCTGGTTTGACTGTAACTAGCACAGGTCTGGTGCTAAGGAAGCCCAGGCCTGTAAAAAGCTAGCGACTGTTCAAGGAATAGCATCCCCCTGCCTATTTGAAGGCGTTCTTCGACTCAGCGATTAGAAAAAGGCAATTACGATCCATAACTCCTGGTCCCTTCCTTCGCCAAAGCCTTCCCAAAGCCCAGGTCTAATGCTATATTTTATCAATTGCATGAAAAACTTTTACATGAAACCAATTATTAGCTACAGAAGTTGCATGGAAGAAGATTTAGCTTCGCTTAAAATATCTTAACTTACTACGTTACACAAGAGCCTCTTACCCCCAGGTGAAAGTAGACGCTCCTAGGAAATACTTCTAGGCTAACAGGGCGTTAAGCAAACAAGCAATTACCATTCATTTATATGGAAACTTTTTTTAATCTTTTACTTTTTAAATTTATTTTCTATCTATTTTACATCATTCTTCACTGATGTGCAATATATGCTTTCTCCTTTCAGTTGCAGGCCCCTGAAATTACCACCATCAATCACCCATGCACCATCATCATGGGCCTCAGAACCAAGCAGCAGCCCACCAAATCACACCAACAACATATCAAGCTACAGTCTCAGGAGCAGAGGAAAACCAGGACTGACACGAACTCACCTGGTCTGGAGGAAGCGTCCGGGAGGCGCCTGCAGCACCGGCTGCGGCCTCTGGACCTGCTGCCACTAAGCAGGCCCTGGAGACGAATGTTGCTTTTTGGCTTTTGTCGTAAAAGCAGAAATCCGAGTTTGCTATAAAGGGTCCTCGTTACATCTTCCGTAAAAGTAAATTGGAATAATGTGAACTTTCAAGAAATGCGATACCATGTTCGAAAAATCAAAAAAAAAGACCAAAAGGGAACTTGCTATACTTTCATTTTAAAGATATTCACCAGATACTACGGGGAAAATCAAATCTTCTGCATCAATGATCTATGACTTTTCAGGCTTATGAAGTGCTTTGTTAATGTTGGAAGAGCAAAAGCCATATAAAGTATTGCTTTTGTTGTGTGGGTTAACACATAGTCGATAAAATAATCCACACTGTGCTCCCCCAGTCTCCACAAATATAAACTCGTGGCTGTTGAAACAGTTTTTTCCAGTTGTGGAAAACAGGATTGTTTTCAAAACACATTTCAGAAAACCCAAGTAATCACTTTTAGGATTCATTCTGTATTATTGATGTCGTATAGGAATGAAGTTAAAAGAACATTTATTACAAGTTAAACGGACTCAACCCATAAAATGGGTAGGTCTCCTTTAAAAGATCAATACTATATAGAAAGAATGATAAGTAGTAAAATCTGCGTTTTATAAATGAAAGAATTTATAGAATAAGGTCATTTGTTTGATTCCAGACTTGAAATACTCTAAATGTTGAGCACATAAATAAATAAATGAGTCAGGAAACAGATCAGATCCTTCCTATCTTGAACAGAGGAAAACTAAATAATAATAATAGCTATCCTAATTTTTTTATTATCCCATTAACAAAGGTTGCAAAAGTGCACATTCTTTGTTATTTACATTTAATGTCTTTCCCTCTTGGTAGTTCTTTTATTTCCAGTTAGTAACTCAAAGGGCATTTTATTTGCAGAACAACAGAACACCAGAAACTATTTTAGTGATTACAATATGTCAAATGAAAAAAAATCTGAAAACCAAATGAGGCTAAATGACATATTCCAGGTCACACAGACAGAATCAGAATGAAATTCAAATCTCTTAATCATTCTTTTAATTGTTTACTGAGTTTTACCTTTTAGATTTTACCAACTGAATTTGTATATTCACAGGAACTATGACATATACATGCATATCCTACACTTGGCAAACTCTTACACATTTACTGAGCCCAAATAAATACATGATGGCTATTAACACTCATGTAGTCACAGAACTGGAAATGCACAATATAGGACGTTCATTTTACAAGACGTCACAAGGGTGTCACATTCAAATAGACCCTAATATGGGTTAGCACTTTTAATTACCTCTTACTAGAATTTTCTAAGACAAGCATAAACTTTCCCAGCACCATCTTAATGTTGCCCCTTTAGTCTGTGGTGCAATTTGGCTCCTAAGTGCAGCTCTTGCTAACAAAATAGAAGATAAAATTTCCTTTTGGAGCCATTTTATCATGGTTCAAAATGCTTTGAAATATCTGTTCAAAGGGAAGTTTTTGCCCATGTTAAAGTAGTTCCTTTGAAGAATCCCCATAAGGAAAACCCATGAGAAAAACTTTCAGAAGGACACAGTTACAATTTGAAATTAACTGCAATTATTGGTTTTTTCCCCTAAAAGAAAAATTTAATTATAGAAGGCAAAGGCCCAAAACCACTGGGACTTAAGTCTTCAATTAGGAAAAGATTCTTTGTTAGAAAAGTTAAGATTATAGGAACCAGCCAGAGGGGGAAGAAAAGGGAGAGCAGGGTGGGGAGAAAGCACAATGGACTAAGGTGAAGATGGGTGGGGTCACCCAGTGACTACACCTGAGGGGAACATCCTAGACTAAAAAGGATGTAAACCAGAAATAAAAAAATAAAATAAAAATAAATAAGTAAATAAGGGAAATAAATAAATAAATAAATAAATAAAAATAAAAGAAAATTTTTTAAAGATTTATTTATTCATGCATACAAGAACTGGCATACAGGCCAGATGCGCAGGAGGGTGAGAGGATGCACCAGAGACAGATATAGAACAGGCAGACTGACGAAATACACTGCTGAGGGGAGCAGTGGGTAAGACAGGAGAGGTCTGCTGCACCATGTGGGTCTCTCCCTAGCCGGATGGGATGGAACCCGCACTGCAGAGGCAGCGGACAGCTTCACAGCACTGTGCTCAACTGCCTGCGCACCAGGGGAGGCCCATGAGAGAAATTTTTTTAAAATAAGAGAAAGAAGCCAAACTACAAATACACCCTATATAATTCACACTATGTGATATTATGGAAAAACAAAACTATAAATACAGGGGAAAAAAATCAATGGTTGCCAGGTGTTTTTTAATGGGGGGGGGGGTTTAAACAGATGCTGCAGAGGGGATTTTAGGGCAGTGAAACTGTTCTGTAAGATACTGTAAAGGTAAATACATGACATTTTGCATTTGACAGAACTCATAGAACTGTACAACACAAATGGTGAACTCAAATGTAAATTGAGAGCTGTAGTAAATAATGTATTAACATTGGCTCATCAATTGTATTATGCCACTGCAAGATGTTAATAACAGAGGAAACTGGGGAGGCGGATTGTATGAGAAATCTCTGTACGTTCCATTCAATTTTTCTGTAAACCTAAAACTGCTCAAAGAAACAATGTCTTAATTTTTTAATCAGTAATATAAAAATGTTAGTGGTTTAATGAAACCATGCTCACTCATTTCTTAAAAGTTTTAATCACCTGGAGGGTATCTCTTTAGATAAGCACATTTTCAGCTCTACACAAATTTGTAATGCTGTGTATTTATGAATTATTGATACCACTATATTTTGTTTCTTTTTAACACCTCCAAACTTCTCTCTTGTACACAGCACCTTCAAAAATATGTCTAGATCCCACTCCGCCTTTGTGACATTCTAACCAAAATGCCTGCCCTTCAAAAACTTTTTTCCTTGTCCAAAGGATTTTATTTTTTTGAAAAACATTGAAAAATATGTGAATCAAGACAGGTTTTAGAGCTGTAAGTCAGTATGTACCTCAAAATTACAGATTAAGCTAATTTTTTATTACTCTTGTCATACACAATTAAAATTCTCAGTCAAAAAAACTTATAGTTTCTCATGTCCAAAAAAGAGATTTGTGATGCACAGAGAAATTATGTGGAAGTGTACAAAATGTTTGAACAATGTGGTATTAATGTGACAAGAAAATGAAGTCTCCCCTGGGAGGCTCTGATCCACCAGTGGGCTATGAAAGCATCCCTCACCTGCCCCATTGCAAAAAGTGGCCTCCAGATTTTGATTATTGACATTAGACAAGTCAATAAGCACCATCCTGGGCACTGGGAATACAGCCACAGAAAAAGATTAGACAAAACCTTTGCCCTCACAGAGTTTTAAATGTAGTAAGAAATGGAACAATAAACAAATAATAAATAAGTAAATAAATGCGAAACAGCAGCAGTATGTTGATAATAAGGTATTAGGAAGAAAAAGATAAGTGCAGGAAGGGGCATATGATGGTAGCAGGAAGAAAAATTCACACTGAGAAGCTGACTGAGTAAAGTTCTAAGGGAGGGCAGGGCAAGCTATCAATATATCTCTTAACAAGTGTTCCAGGGGCAGAAAGCAATTGCAAAGGTGCTAAGGAAGGGACACTCCTAATATGTCTAATGAACAGCAAGGCCAGTGTGGTTCCAGCAGAATGAACAAGAAGAAAATAGTAGAGGAGTTTCAGGGAATATTAAAGGATAATATCCTTATGCTGTTTTATATCAAAATAAGAATTTTGTTTTTTTTTCTGCGAGTGAGATGGAAAGCATTTAGAAAGTTGTGGTAAATTTTAGGACTGATTTGCAGGTGTTGAACCATCCTTGTATCCCTGGAATAAATCTCACTTAGTCATATTGTATGATCCTTTCAATCGTATTGTTGAATTCAGTTTAGTAAGATTGTTTTGAGGATTTTGGCATCTTTGTTCATTAGAGATATTTGTCCATAGTTTTCTTTTTTTATGATGTTCTTGTCTGTTTTTAGCAATAATGTTGATCTTATAAAATGTGCTGGATACATTCCCTCTCCCTCAATTTTTTAGAAGAGTTTGAGAAGTTTACATATTTGAAGATTTGGTAGAACTCACTAGAGAAACCATCTGGTGCTGGGCTTTTATTTCTTGGCAGACTTTTGATTACTAAAACATGACATATTTTATACCAAAGTGGAGAAAATATAATTTGGCATGGCTCAAATATCTTTAGATCCTAGTCCCTTTAGCCAGGGGATAATTTTTAATAATATAAACTCTGCCACAGACTATTATGTCTATGTAAATGTATAATTAGAAAATGTCTTATTAGAAAAATTTCCCCAAGTGATAGCTAACTCTATAAACATTCTTTCATGTGGTGCTATATATGGAACTGAAGATCAGCTTCACTACATATTTTGGTTTCCATTTTGCTTAACTAAATAAAAGGATATTAACTGAGAGGTTTGCATAATTTAGGTACTATCAAACATAATTTTTGTAAGTTGATTTAATATAAGGCTCTGCTTCTCTTCTCATGATCACTGAGTGCATCCAAAATCTTGTTACTTTAAACCAAAATGACCCAGAGATTGAATAAAAGCAAATATTTTTTGAAGTGGTTTTTCATCCTTTGAATATTTTTTCTGTGATCTAAAAGTATTCGACTTTTAAGAACCAAGATAAAAGAATGAGGTGGAAGGAGGAAGGAATTCAATCTAAAATATCTTCTACCACAGCCCTCCAATACAATCTTCCCAAATGTGGCTATTATTAAAAATAAATTTCAAACAAATAAATTTAGAGTACTAATTGACTTTATTAAGTGATTCACTAATCGACAGTATGTACTACACTGAGTAGAACAAAATGGAAAGTTCTATAGTAAGAAAAAAGATGGGGCAGGTTATTAGCAAAAGAAAAGAAATATGATTTCAGGCAAAGCCACCCTATTTGGGGGAACAGAAGCAAAGTCTTAAGGTGTGATGACCTCACTCATGCTGATCAGGAAATTCCAGACTGATTGGCTTAAAATTACACTCTTGAGAAAGGCTGAAGCTGCAATTAAGTTAGGTACTAAATCTTTGTGGGAATTGCCATAAATGACTCCATTTGGGGTCTGTTCTTTTTTTAATGCTATAAAGACTCAAATGCATAAGAACAAAAATGATGCCGCCTTCCTATTCAACTTTCTAATCCTAAAACTAGGAAGGTGAGGCAGGGTAGTATATATTTGCGTGTGTATACATGTGTTGGGTAGGATATATAGGGGCAAGAGATGCTTGAGTAATGACACAAACAAGAAGAAGTTTGGCATTTGGGGAGGTGTAATCTTCCGCAAGGTTATTACAAAGAAAGATCCATATATCAAAGCAATAATGAGGCAGTGATATGGAAAACCACCACAAGCAGTACAGTATGTCCTGGGAATTGAAACTTATATAGTAAATCAGTTAATCAGTTGACAGAACCAGCAGCAATTATAAGTGAATATGCCATTTATTAAAAAGAGGATGAAGACATCTGTAAAAACTTCTTGAGGATGAGCATTATGACTGGAAGTACATAAATTTGCCCTCAAGAAATAGATCTGAGAATAGAGTTCAATATTCACACACAGCTACAGAGAACAGGGAAAGGCCAAGGTTTCTGAAGATAAATTTTGTGTTGAGATTTGTCTTATATAAAGAAAATCCAGCATGGGGTTTATAATAGTAATAAGCAGGAAGAGAAAGAGGAGAACACCTGTAGAAAAAAGTAAGATGATCATTTTCATGAGACTCATAAAGCATATTCCTGAAAATAATCCAATTCAGGACCCAGAAAACAATTTCAAAAATGTCAAACATTCTAAATAGTTAATCATTGAGCAGTTCCTATGTGTCAGAGATAGTTTAAATACATAACACGCATCAGCTCATTTAAATCTCACAATAATCCCAAGAGATAGTGTTATATCCTTTTTAGAACTAAGGACATGTCCAAAGTCATAGTTATTAACATTATTAAAAAAACATAAATATTATGAACAGAAGTAAAAATGTATTCATTATTCACACAAATAATATTTTATGACTACTCTAAGGGGCAGATAATATCTCAGGCACTCAGGATATACTAAGGAGAAGAAAGGATCCTAACTTAAAGGAGCTTGGATTCTAACAAAGTGTTAGTTATATAATAATATTTTCACATATAAAAGTGATGAGCTCTACGGGGAGGGAAAAAAATTAGAACAGTATATTGAAGTTGGAAATTGCATGGTGAGAAATAGAAATGAATGAACTGAGTTGAATTTGAGACGATTTTTAGTGTGTCTCAGATCTTGGCTTATAAAGGATAATTTAATCTAATCACATTATTTTAATGATGGTTAACTTTAAATATCTTTCAATTATGTATATCCTCCATTTCTCTAGCAATCTCATACGCACAAAATAAGGCCAGGTCTTATACATTTTTTCTGTATTCTATTATTGAGTGTAACACAATAGTAGGAATATATATTTGTTCTATAAGTGAATAAATTAATGATAGGTATTAACTATGATCATAATTCTTTTCCAGATCCAAAGATAAACTCTGGAGGAAGGTAATAAAAAATAGAAAGTGAAGTAAAAAAAAAAAAGTGGAAAAGAAGCTGACAGAGGAGATTTCTCTATCCCAATCCTGAGATTAATTTTGTGATATTGAAAAATTCACCCACCCTTTTTATACCTCCATTTTTTTTCACTTGAAACTAGGGAGAGAGGATTAGAACAGTGACTCATTACCTTTTTGTGAGTCACAGACCTTTTTGTGAAAACTTAAAGCCTATCAATCTTCTCATGAAAGCATTATATATAGATGTCATGAAAAACAATAAGTTGACATGTTTTATAAGATTACAAAAAATCTTTAACGTGTGCATTGCTAATATGATATGAAAACAATGAAATATTTTGTTATGTTTAAAGGTAATTAAACAATTCACAAAAAAAGAAAAAGCCCTCTCCATACTTAATTATAGAGAAAGCCCAACACTCCCAGAGTGGCGAGAAAGTATTCATCCAAAGAAAGAAACAAAAGATAAATAGATGTTGTGAAATGTTTTGAAATATTAGTGTCCATTATCTTCTTTTAAATTCTTGTAATATTTATTTCAAATAGGGATGAAGTTGTTTAAGCTTCGCTTTTCTTGACAAGCCAATTCTGATTGGTCGACTGCATGTCTTAAGAGGTAGTACTCTTGAAATTCCATTTGAAAAATTACTACCTAAAATAAAATATAACATAGTAAGTAAAAATATAAAAAAAATAAAAGGGAGTAAAAATTACTGCTTCTATGCTTAAAAATTTTACAAAATCTAATCATGAGTCTAACAATATTTACTGAGTCACTGTTCTAAGTGCTGGAGAAGCATTAATTTACTTAACCCTATCTCCATTTTTAAAATGTGAAAAACCAACACAAAAAAGTAACTTGCCCATCATAAAATAGCAACAGAATAAAATCAGCATTCTAGTCAGGCAGTTAGTTTAACAGCAGCTACAAGAAGAACAGCAATAAACTATTGATATAAGGTCTTAAAATTAACTCAATGTAAGGGTTTTAAAGACCATGTCATGTTTTCAAAGTTAAACAACTAGGTTAGATTGTTAATGGTTACTTTTTCCTAATAGAGATTATTATCAATAAAAGAGCACAAATGAACTTTACCTGTTTAAATATCAAAGGAACAGTCTGATTCTGGTTTTTATTTAATATCGCCCTATCAGTTTCAAAATAGTACAAAACATTACATGGAAGTATGTTTGTTAGTCAATCAGTTAATCATATAGATAGGATTAACTACCACTGATAATAAATTAGAAAAATATCTTTAACTTTCAAGTATTTTTTAAATAAACAGTGAGGTACATAAGCAAAACTGAAATATAGCAAGTTTTAATCAAGATCTAAAGAATTAGCATGACCTTAATATGATAGTACTTTATACTAAAAATACCAATGTAATAGTAAATCTGACACAAGGGAAACAGCATCTTTACAAAGTTGAACCAAACAGAATCTATGTGTATATTTATGTAAACAATAATGAAATAAAATAAAAAATTGAATTACTTGTAATTAATTATTAAGGCCAGGTCTTATACATTTCTTCTGTATTCTGTCACAAAAATATCTATAAACCAGTTTATGATCCTTTCTTCACTTCTACATTAAAATTAGAGTTTTATTTTTAAACAAAAGGATTATATAAATAAACCTGTTGGATCATGTCCGATACACTAGACTTGTTTATAAATTAGATAAATTTACCAATTTATGCTATGTATTTCTTCATTATGAGATTATTTCAGAACAGTCATATTTAGTTTATTTGATTACTTTTTTAAAGGATAGCTTCCATATTTTATATTCTAATATGACAGTTACTTCTGGCAATTTTACAATGGGTGGGAAGTCAATGAACCAGTTTGTATCAACAATAGCTTTTTTGCAAAGCACAGGCCCTTAAACAGTCATCAAGTTGTAGTTATGAGGATGTGCTTGTCTCTTTGGATTGCCTATAATAAAGATAAACGTCTTTATTATTGTTACACATTGGTTTAATTTATTGCTTTGAATAGTTTAACAATTCTAAACATTCATGCCTACTGCCAGAAACTGTTCATTTTAAAAATCAGTATCATAAAAAAAAAGTCATGAAAAATTTTAGTGGTCTTTTAGAAATGATATTAACTCAATTCTCAATTGTTTTCTAAATCCTTGTGGCTCAAAATGTGAACCACAGTCACCCAGGAGCATGTTAGGAATGCGGAATGTTAGAGCCTGTCCATAAGGGAATCAGAATCATTTATCAAGATACCCAGTTAATTTGCAAATACATGAAGGTTGATTTGCATATACATGAAGGTTAGGGATGCATCTGTCTAAATAACATACAAAGCACCGGGAACACTGGCTGCATATAATACATGCTCAAAATAACTTCAAACTACTGGACTTCACACCACAGAAAAAGGAAAGACAGAGAGAAGAGGCACTGGAGACTTCAGTGGTAGAAACTTTACCTGGAGGTATTCTGGCGACAAGCGGGTAGGTATCAAAAACCTTCAGGAGTTTCCAGTGCTTTAAAAATCACCCTGCATAAGCAGATCCCCATCCCACCTGGGCAGAGTTAGTTCATTCTTAGTATCCCCACTTCCTAGTGTCCCCCAACATTTGTTTACACTGGGTATGAGCTCCCTCATCTTCCTCCAAATATCTCAAAATTTGTTCCCCAATCCAACTTTTCCCTTTCCTTTCTTTCTGTCCTAGAACCACCCTGATGCTTTCTAGGCTAGTTTCTACCACTCATGTTGTCTTGTTCCCTCAAGTATTGCTTTTATTCAGGAGAGAAGAGGGGTTTTAATCTTCCAAGAACACGGATTAATTTTTAAGATTATTTCCTTGTAATGTAAGAAAAAAGGAAAAGATGTATTTCTGAAGTAACTGAACAAAGTATCAAAACAGCATCCTACTGAGGATGAGAGACTAGTGGAAATTTAAAATCTGATGCAGGATCGAAGATGTTTTGGTAAATGTATTTCACCTCCCTCTAAAGAAAAGCTTAGCTTTTCTTCTATTTTAATAATTAAAAAATTAAATGCTATACTTGTAAATCAAGTTAATACATCTAAATGATACCAATTTTCAATTACTAAATAAAATATCTGTATAAAGAGGCTCATAATACTTAAAGGATAGAGATATTGATAATAAGTATATAATTGGAGTAACATCTCATCACAGGAAATCCAATTTAGATAAATGCCTTTTTGGTTGTGCCAATTAATGTTACATACACAGCTATTGCAATGCTTCACTGCAAATATTTAAATGCTTTTGCAGACCACATTTCCTAATAATATTCTAAACAACATTTTAATTTCAAAACAATTTTAATTATTGGAATTGGCATCAGGAAGTTATTAATTACAAAATTACTAATCTTCTATTTATTTTCTAACAACCTAAGTATATTTTCCTCATGCCAAAAATAAAAGAATGTATAACCATCTTAGAAGGTATTCTAGAAAATAACCAAAACTCTTACCTCCCTTCAGCAAATAATTAAACTTTTCTTCATTAAACTCATCAGAGAAGGAAGCAGGTCTTTTAGGTGAAGGTTTTTCACAATCTGAAAATAAAGATCAACATGTTATAACAAAAACTTAACCTTTATGTAAGATGTTAATACTACGCAAATAACATTTTCAGGAATATTTTCTCCTATTGGCTCCTAATATTTAGATAAATGAAGCAGGACTCTTCAAAGCTCATTTTACCAATTCTATTACCTTAAACTTTAATATATTATTTGTTTGCACAGTCCTTAATAGGAAAAAATGTGCATCAATAAACAATGTATTCCATGTTACTGTCCCAAAATTATATATTTGCCCTACACAGGGGAAAAAGGACATTTCTCTATCCTAAAAAGAACATTTTAAAACTAATTTCATACCTTTCTCAGAGTAGAGTAATTCTTCTTCTGATGTTCTTGAACAGTAATACTCCTCAGGAACTTCCTGTTCTCCACTTTTAGATACTGTTTTCCATTTAAATGCGTTTTGGTGTCTTTTATGCATAACAGGACCTGCTTTAGTATCACAGTACAAAGAAGATGTACATATTTTGTTGCCTGCACCCACTTTCAAATCTTTTTTAATCTCCATTTTTACTTTCCCAACATTATTTTCTCCAAAGTAATTTTCTAGTCCATTGTTTGTTTCCACAGTGCTTAGAATTTCATTTTCCTTGCTAATTTCATGAAACATACGAAGTTCTTCAAGCACTAAATCAAATTTACTCTTCATCTCAAAATCTTTTACTATTGTCAGAGTTTCTGTTGGTAAACACTTGGCAGTTGAGTCCTGAAAACATTCATTGTTTCTGACACTCAAATCAGTTTCCGACTGGTGATTAACACTTTCTGTAGAGTCATTCTTTGGATGAAAATGCTCTGAATTAGCTAACTCCATTTCTTGCAAAATACTTTCATATTCATTGCTCTCATCTACATTATTTAGATAAACATTCTTAGGTCCTTCCACATTTACCTTATTATTCATTAAAAAAACGGGTTGCACAGAAAACATATCATCCTTGGAATCAAAAATATTCTCTTCCTTTTCTATCTTAATGTCTTCATGAGCATGGCAACTGTTTGTTAAACTTTGTGCTGTGACTTTTACTTCCTCCTTCAAAATTAAGTTACGATTTTTTCCTTCAGTTTCAGTAAGCAAGTTCCCAAAATTTAGCGCCTGAATTATGGAAGTAGGATTGATTTGTTCACTGTGTCTTCTATGGTGGCTTGACTGTATGGCCTGCTGCCTAATGTTGATGAAATCTTCAAGAACGTCCTTAAAATTAAAACTACTGAGAATATTATGCTCTGGTTTTCTTTCGGTATCTAAATCTTGGTTGTATTTACTTATTTCATATAAGTTTGCATTAATATATTCATGGTTATTCCACATAAATGGAGGTCTACACTTATTTAGTGTTTTAATTGTCAAGTTTCCCTCATTCATAAGTTGTTCAGGACAACACTTATTCCTGTAACTAATTTCTTTTGTCGACAAAATTTCATCCAAATTATCAAAGTCCATTGAAAGAGAAACTTTTTCATATGTTTCAAAAACTGGAAATTGTGTATTTTTAGTTGTCATACTGAAGGAATTGATACTTTTTTTCATAGGCTCTTCAAAAACTTGTTCGTTTTTAAGCTGCCCTGTCTCTAATGTAGGCGCCATATTATCTTCTAATAGTGTTGAAAACCTCCTTAATATATCATGACTTTCCACTGCATTTTGTGGATAGCTGACTATCCATTTGAAAATGTATCCCTCTTCTAATTGAGAATCATTTTCAATTCTTGTTAAAGAGTCGAAGTTACTAAGCAAAGAAACTATGCTAGTTTTCAATATATTTAGAGGTTGTGAAAACTTGCTTTGTAAGTATATGCTTAAAATGTTATTCTTTCTATTGCTATCCACACTTCTCACTATATTTTGCTCTTTATATATCAAAATTTCATACCAGCTTAAGCTATCTTTTTGATTTCCTGAAATACATTTATGGACATATAAAATTCCTTCAATAAAGTTTTCAAAAATGCTTAAATGAAAGTCCTTTTGTGTAGTGCAATATCTCCACTGCAGCCCATTATCAGTTTCTCCTTTGGCTTTTAACCAGAGAAAACGTATTAAAGTTTTTTGGCTACCCAGTGTTCCTATCATGAGAGACTTTAATTGTTCTTCATGTGTCCTCATGGCTATTGTATTGTTTAAAAGGCCTATTTCTAACAACTGTAGCAAACTCAACTTTGCTCCAGTGTTTCTCATGTTTTCACACTTCGTCTTGTCATTATCCACAATCCAACCATTTTCCCTGTTTTGGCTCAAAACATATGCAGTGGTACAGTCCCAGCTTGGAGAGTTTGCCAAGCTGGTGTTAGATCTGCAGCTGTCCAGGCATGGCCCTGCTTCTTCCAAATCTGCGTTTTCTGATATTATAGCGAAATCCTTTCCAGAGTCTCTTCTGTCAGACTGGACACTACCGTGGTTATAGATGTTTACACGGACGGAGTCTTTCTTTTTCCCACAAAAAACATTCTGGTTGCAGAGTGACTGGGGGTAACTTTCATAAAGTTCAGGAAAAACATTTTCCACGCCCAACATCATTCCCTCATCCCTTAAGTTCTGCTTCTCAACATCACGTCTACTTCGGGCCCAGTCGGTGTCGGTGAAACCCCCAACACACGCCTCCTGTGTGTCCCCCGTTTCCTTCGCTCTTTCCTTCCAACAGGCAGAGGACATCTTGCTTTTTAAATTAGCTGCAAACTCACGGATACTGATTGTGCGGCTCTCTCGAAAATAGCCAGATTTGGCCATTTCCACGCTGGGCGGGGTTTGCGATTTGGCTATTTTTAGCGCAGATGCCGAAATGCTATTTTCTTTTTCATTTGACAGCATCCCCCCGGCAGCTGTGCATCCGTTCACGTCCTGAAATGCTGGTTTCTGCTCCTGACAAAAGGTAACGCCTGCGAACGGCCCTCCTGCCCGCGGGCCGTCACTCCGGCCTCTCTCCGCGCCCCTCCCGGGGCCCGAACCCCGCGTCCCGTCGCCGCGGGGCAGCCGCGTCCCGGCCCCCGCCCCGTCCCCGGCAGGGCCCCCGGGAGCGCGCCGCCCGGGGCCGGCCCTCGGGGAGGGGGAGCCCCGGAACGCGCCCCCGGGACCCCCAGGTCACGTGTCTGCCGCCCGCCGACGGGCGTCTCCACACGCGCGCGGGCGGCGTCCTCGGAGGCCGCGTGAGGTGAATAAAGCAGCGCGCTGAGGGGTCGGGGCGCCCACGCCCAGGCGTTTTCTACCTCAGGCAGGCGAGGCACCAAGGGCAGCCTCCACCACGCCTCCGAGACACCCTCTGGCTCCTCCAAACGGAGCCGTTTACGGCCGGGTGGTTGGGGATCAGGGTCCTCGAGAGGCGAGGAGGGGGGAGCCAGCTCCGTGAGCTCCGAGCCCCGCGGCGTGAGGGGCGGGAGCGACATGACAGCGAACTCGGCGGACGCTCGGTCCCCGGAGCCGCCTCCCGCTCTTAAATGTGCGAGCGCTGCCCCGCCCCTGCTGCCCCGGCCACGCCCCCGACCCGCCCTTGGAAGCCAGAACTCGGCTCCGGAATAAAGGTCAGTCCCGCCTTGGACACGCCCCTTCCCCGCCCCGGCCTAAGCCCCGCCCCGCCCCAAGCACCGCCCCGCCCGCGGGTCGTCTCCACAGAGCACTGGCCAGGACCGTTATCTTGTCTATTTTTAGCGCTTCTGGCCAAAGCCACCTGGGAAGTTGATCTAAATGTTTTCTTCCCTCTGGTAAAATCAAAGGGAAAAGTCAGCATAGGTCCCTTTTTTTAAAATCTGTGGGAAAAAACAGATTTATTTTCAAAAATCTAAAATTCCACGTTTCCTCAGAAGCGGCAAGTGTCTTGACTGGTAAAACTGTGTCTTTTCCTCACACACTATAAATCTGTGTGGAAAAGCTTCTTTAAACGCTCAGTGGAATTTAAATCAGATTTCCACTTTATCTTCAGAAAGTGTGTTTGTGGGGAGAAGGCGCCCACACTTAACAATCGGAATATTTCAGGAAAAAGTATGTGGAAATTCTTGCCCAGATAATTATTTATCTTTAAGACTTATAAAAAGAGCTTTTAAGTGTGCCGTGGGGGTTCCTTCTCCAGGATTGTGGCTTAAATTACCTAAATATTTACAAATGATGTTTCAACTATGCTATTTATTGTAAGCACAAACACTTAATACAGTGACTCCCACCTAATAACAAATTTTATGCTATTTTTCTCTTGTCCTCCGATTTGAGAATAATTTATTATTTCCATTCAGTTTTGGTTTTTGTGAATTTCATAATCATAAAGAAGAAAATGATTTTCAAAATGTTTGTTATATGCATGTCTATTAAGAGACATGTGCTTACTTTTAAGTAATCAAAAACCTCAGTCTGCTTAATGATTGTTGATGACAAAATTGGTCAGTTTTTTGTTACCAAATTTTTAAGAACTATAGCAAAAATTTGTAATAACTACAATAACATGCAACAGGAATCCTCACTCAGAACCCATGGGTGCATATATGATGATGTGTGACGAGTATATTACATTAGGTAATGAGGTGATCACCAGCTTCCTGTCTTTTAAGACTCTACGGTATATAGGGATTCCAAATCTGGGCATTTGGTATTACTTTATTTGTAAATTCCTTTAGAGAAATGTTTACTTAAATTTTCAGAAATCCTTGAGGCATAAGCACTTCACTAACACTGTAACAAAGAATGTGGCAGTGGTTCTGATTATACCTCAGTAAGTTCTCCAAGTGCTACTTCTCTGTATCTTAAGTTCCATTTTTTATCCCAGATTTTCCACAATTCTACATTCCATCCTAATGCAATCTGTTCTGCTTTTGTGATCAGCCCACAGGGCCTGTCTTACTTACTTAAGGTGGATGTGTCTGGTGCACTGAAATGATATTAGGAACGAGCTCTCTGTAAATGCCATGAACATTGTGATTTCTATATTGATCTGTAACTTCATGTTTGATTTTTTTTTCATCTTGCTAATTTGTCCAAGGACACATTATTTTTAGATCTCAATTATACCATTACTTAACAACTCTGCAACTGTGCATTGTTTAAGGACTAGAAATGATATAAAGCCCAGAAGCATTCAACTGAATTCAACAATTGCTTGAGAACTATGTCTAAGGTGCTATGTATAGGAGTTATTTTTTCTATCCTGGACAAACCTATAGCAATGAAGACAGAAAAAGATGTCTTTTCTTGCATTTACTCATTTAAACTGTACACTAATGACCCCATCATTTCAATCAGTGTCTATGGGAATAATTCTATCTATCTATGTATCAATCTATCTATCTATCTGTCTGTCTATCTATCTATCTACATATCTCTCCATCTAAATCCATCTAGATAGATACTGCTTTCTTTTTTTTTTTTTTTTAAGATTTATTTATTTATTTTATACAAGCACTGGGTACAGTCAGAAGCACGGGAGGGTGAGAGAATTCACCAGAGCCAGAGGGGAGAGCAGAGCAGGCAGAAGGACTGAAGCACACTGCTGAGGGGAGCAGCGGGCGGCAGGAGAGGTCTGCGCGCAGTGTGGGACCCTCACCCAGTAGCCGGGGATCGAACCAGCGTTGCAGAGGCTGCGGGCAGCTTTGCAACCCAGCACTCAACCGCTGCGCCACCGGGGAGGCCCAGATACTGCTTTCTTTTTTAAATGTTACCTCAAAAGTAAACCAGTTGTAAGAATGCAAATGCAAACAAAAAAGAACTCTTTCTTCAACTCATCAAAATCAAAATATAAATGAGACTTGTTCTAATCTTCCTTACTCTTCAAAACTCCTTCCAACTGTCACATTTTTCTAATATCGCTTTACCTGCCTTTCCTTTAAAAGCGCCTGGCCCCCTTAATAACAGTAAACTGAGCTTTAAGGACAGCACCTGCCTAATTCCTTTCAGCTTGGTGTCTTCTTACAGATCAGATCCAAAATACTGAAAGAATGAATGAGTTCACAAGATACTCTACTGAAAATATGATACAAGTTCCTGTTAAAGTCTGAATTTATCTCCAGTTGCCTAAAGCCCAACCTCTTTAGCCTGATAGGCGGGAGTCTCACAGCCAGCCCTTACCCCTTTTGACTTCCTCTTTTTCACAATTTGTCCCATGCTGCCTACATCAGACTGCTTGGTATTTTCTTTCCTTTTTAAAGATTTATTTATTTATGCATACAAGAGCTGGGGTGTAGGCCAGAGGTGGAGAGGGTGAGAGGATTCCCCAGAGACAGAGTGGGGAGCAGAACAGGCAGATCTACTGAAATACACTGCAGCAGGGAGATAAAAGAGGTCTGTTGTGCCATGTGGGTAGCACCCTGGCCTGGGATGGAACTCATGTGCTGCGGTGGCTGAGGATAGCTTCTTAGTGCTGTGTGTTAACCCTTTGTGCCACCAGGGAGGCTCATGCTTGTTTTTTGTTTTTTTTTGTTTTTTTTGCCATTTTTTGCCATTTCTCAGTGTCTCCCCTTCACCAGACAAGTTTCAAGTTACATCCACTATGAAAACTTCCCTGTCTTCTCCCTTTCAGAATTACTTGTATTCCCATCTGTGTTCCTATAGCAATTTATTTTAAGCTGTATTATAACACTTAAGATACACTGAGTTATTGTACTGAGTTGTTTGCATTGCTCTACTAGACTCTGTTAATTAGGGCAAAGATTTATTCATTTTTACATTCCCCAGTGCTTCGTACTAAGTAACTTAATTAATGAACGGAAGAAAAAGAAAAAAGGAAAAACATATTGCTACTATACTTTCATCAATCTGAATGGATGCAGTGGTGTCTTAAGTGTTTTGATTTTGTTTTCTATGTTAAAACAGAGATCAGTTGATACTATACCACCATAAATATTACTGGTTTTAACCATTATTCAGTTTTATGATAGAACTAGATATTTGACAGTGTCATTTTTGTCTTCTAATAAATAATATAAATGGTAAATAAATATGTTACACCTAAACTTTATTTGAGACTGAAAAGAAACAAATATATTTGAAACTATAAGAAACAGAAATACTTAAAACCAAGTGCAGGGCCTCGCCGGTGGTGCAGCGGTTGAGCGCTGGGTTGCCAAGCTGCACCGCCGGTTCAATCCCCGGCTGCTCCCCGGCCACCGGAGGAGGGTCTCACATGGCGTGCAGACCTCTCCTGCCGCCCGCTGCTCCCCTCAGCAGTGTACTTTGGTCCTTCTGCCTGCTCTGCTCCCCACTCTGGCTCTGGTGAATTCTCTCACCCTCCTGCACTGTACCCAGTGCTTGTATAAATAAATAAATAAATCTTAAAAAAAAAAGAAAGAAAAAGAAAAAGAAGTTTAAAAAAAAAAAGTGCAGGGGTTAGAGAGGAAAATATCATCACTGACTAAAAATATTTAAAATCAATGTGGCTATAAATAACACAATAACTTTTTATCAAGTCACTGAGAAGCACTAGATGGGAAAATATTCAAAAGGCCATAAAGCTATGTATATCTTCATATGCAATTAATCTTTAGCAGAACAATAATGATTATTTATAATGAAATATAATTATATATATTTATAATATATGTAAAGTGTCTCCCTATTCTCAATTTTCAATAATGGCATCATTAATTACTCAGTCTCCTAAACTGGAAACTCTTAATATTATCCTTAATTTTATACAGTCTTTCACCAACATCCAATCCTTTTATACAGTCTTTCACCAACATCCAACCCCTCTACATACAGTCATCAAATCTCATTGCTTCCATATCAGATATAAAAATATGCTCTGTTCTTTATCCATATGTTTCAAATTTATTCCAAGTTCTCATTCTCTCCTGCTGAGAATGTTACAATGAACAGATTTTTACACTATTCCTTTCTCGATTTCTGCCCAAGACTACTACAAGATTTTTATTCTTAAAATATTAATAATTGGGCCTCCCTGGTGGTGCAGGTGGTTGAGTGCAGAGCTGTGAAGCTGTCCACAGTCTCTGCAGTGCCAGTTCAATCCCCACCAGCCTCAGAGCAACCCACATGGTGAGCAGACCTCTCCTGTCTCGCCTGCTGCTCCCCTCAGCAGTGTATTTCGGTCAGTCTGCCTGTTCTGTTCCCCGCTCGGTCTCTGGTGATTCCTCTCACCTTCCCACACATCTGGTCTGTACCCCAGTTCTTGTATAAATAAATAAAAATCTTTTAAAAATAAAATAAAATATTAATAATTGTGTTACTTTATTACTTAAAATTTCTTCAGACATTTTGATACTTACAGAATAAAATATAAACTTTTTGAATTTGACACACAGTGAGCCTCATAGTTCCAAACTTTTATTTTCAACTACAATCGACTGTTACAATTTGTTTTCCTGCTAAACATCTTACCATTTCTTAAAATATTAATACATAACACCATTTCACAAGTTCATATACTAAAAATGGACATATTCTGAAATGTTGAAA